GGCCGGGGGAGAGAAACAGCCAGGAGATCCCTCGAAGACAACCGGAATCAGGTACGCTGACTTGAGCCTTCCGCATGAGCCCCGAATCCTCTTCCCTGTTCTTCGGGACAGGCGATGGTGGCCTAAACCCTAGCCTAAACTAAAAAGAAAAACCCTAACTACGCCCGACGCACCCGACGAACAGTCACGATGATGGCCGATGTGCTTTGAACCGATGCTTTACAATTGGGGGGAGGTAAGGGGAAAGGAGATGGGAGGGAGTTGTATGGGGAGACTGAAGTGACCCTACTATGGGGCCTGTGCTAACATGCCCGTCAGGGCCTCTGGGATGCGCACCCCATCCTGGTGCGCCTGGCAGATGGCAGCTGTGCAGGGCTGTTCATAAGTCTGGGCCTCGGCTGCCATCCATGCAGGGAGGAAGGTCTCCCCACTGCGCTCCACAAAGTTGTGGAGCACGCAGCACACGGCCAGTACCTCCGTTGCATTCCGCTCATCCGTCTCAAGATGGGTGAGCAAACAACGGAAGCGGGCTTTTAAACATCCGAAGGCGAGCTCCACTGGATTTCGGGCCCGGTTGAGGCGGTCATTGAACCCGGTCCGGTTCTGGTCCAGCTGCCCCGTGTAGGGCCGCATTAGCCAGGGCAGCAGGGGGTAGGCCGCGTCCCCGACGACGCAGATGGGCATAGGCACATCCCCGATAGTCAAGTCCCGCCGGGGGAAGTAGGTGCCCGCCTCCAACCTGCGAAAGAGTCTGGAGTTGCGGAGGATGCGGGCGGCGGGGGGCCCGCCGGACCAGCCCCCGTAGATATCCAGGAAGCGGCCCCGGTGGTCCACGAGGGCCTGCAGAACAATGGAGCAGTACCCCTTCCAGTTCATGAAATGGGCTGCTCGATGCTCCGGGTCCCAGACGGGGATGTGGGTTGCGTCCAGGGCTTCCCCGCAGTTGGGGAACCCGAGAGCAGCGAAGCCGGCCATGGTCTCCTCGACGTCGCTCAGGCGGATGATTCTCGGCAGCAGGACGTCATTGATGGCGTGGACAACCTGCAGAAGGGGGCAGAGAAACACAAGGGAACACATTACATACAGCCAGGGGTGAGTGTG